TTCCAATGTTATTTCTCCACCGAAAACACGATCGACCTAAATGAGGCTTTCTTGTGGGGCAGCCCCCCATACTAGCTTTGTCATTCTGTTGTCTGGCATTTTTCTTACGTGACCTGTTCACTCTAGTGTCCCGTCCAGTACTTTATTATATTACTATCTGTATACAGTCCTTTGAATTCTAGGTTAGTGTTTATTCGGTATTGTTCTGATGCTTTTTCCCTGGTTGGAACGAATCAATTCTTCCTGTACTTTAAGTCGTTCATGATTTGCAACGCTTAGAGTCCAACTGTCGCAACCATACATTATTATAGATGTTATGATTGCTCTGTATAGATTTAGTTTAGTTTTTCTGGTAAGTTCCTTTGATATATTTAATTGTCCTCTCTAATACTCGTATTTGAATTGTATACTCCGCCAACCAAAGTTTAGTTTACCAATGCAAACATTGACATTAAAAAACGCCCACAGGGCTAACCTGCAGGTTCCCGCAAGGCTACAGTTTGTTAATGAGAATACCTTTTATATCGAAGAAACTGCTTTAGTATTCAAATTTTTCGACCAATTTGCAACTGGCACAATCGCAGCGCAAATTATTATTCCGGAACAAATCAAACACGATCGTTTTCCGAAAACAAGATATTAGCTCCGCTCGCAAACTCGATCTCTCCGACAAACACACCCGCACGCCAATCAAACGTGAAATTTGCATCTCTTCAACGGGCCGTTTTACAGCAACCGGGGCCGCGTTATCCGCATTAGTAGGCCGTGTATGAAAACACGGCACAATCGAAACCAAATTGGTAGAAAATTGATAATCACCCCGTTGTACACGGGGGAGCGAGACGGTACCAGCGTCCGATTACGCGTTGGACGAGGACGACGATGGTGTTATTAAAATGTAAATCGGACAAGTTCCTGTCACAAGCCCCGAAACTCGTTTTGCGCGGGTGTTTATGGGGTTTCACGGACGGCGAATTCTCTGCATGGACGCGCGCGTGTACTTTGTTAATTAACGGTATTTTGAGAGGTATCCGGAGGGGCCTAAATACGCGAGAGTGACTTTTTTGATTGCGGGGATTTTATTCCGATAGGAATACCTCGTCTAAGTTGGCAATTACAATTTGGTGACAATTTTTTTTTCCAAAACCAAATTGATGAAAATTCGCTTTATAACGTTTTACTTTATTCCTTGTTTGACGCGATGACACGATAAGAAATTACGTTTTTCCTTATGAACCGATAAAGCTAAACGCTACCCCAGAGATACGTGGTTAAATCCTTTTTTAAATTATAATTAAATTATAAATATTATTGTAATTTTATATTATTTTTGTACTTACAGCATAAAGTATTTATACAAGAGTACAAGAGAATTATTAAAGTGTTTCAACATACAAGTAAATGTACAAGGTGGCCCGTTTAGGAGGGGCCTATGCCTTATTTCGAAACCTACGGGGGTTACAAAAAAAAATAAATACAAAAGTTGTTTCTATTAAAATATATACAGAGTGGTATAACAAAGTTAAGTTTTCTTAGAACACCCTACATTTTATTTTACTTTTGGATAGTCCTTTCAGAGACAAATTGAAAGAGAATCCCGCAGACGCCCCGCCAAAATCCCACTTGGCACCCTCAACGCTCGCGCTCCGAAAACGAGTGTTCGAAGTGTTTCGGAGCGCGAGCGTTGAAGATGCCAAGTGAGATTTTGGCGAAACGTCTGCAGGATTCCAGTCGGAGTTCAACACGCGAACGGATTATATCCTGGAATATAGTGTCATCACATTTTTCCATCCGTGAATCAATACGTGAATATATATATATATATATATATATATATATATATATATATATATATATATATATATATATATATATATATATATATATATATATATATATATATATATATATATATATATATATATATATATATATATATATATATATATATATATATATATATATATATATATATATATATATATATATATATATATATATATATATATATATCAATTTGTCTCTGAAAGGACTATCCAAAAGTAAAATATTAGAATTTCCTGTTTTTGGAAAGAGCGTAAAATTTACAGTACAGTAATGTCTAAAAGTGCACAAATTTTTTTATCACACTTCGGAAAGTTGGCTCTTAATTATTTTTTCTACTCCCGTCTGTAAATTACCTAATTACACAGCGATCTAGCGTGCGAGCCACTTCGGACATTTCCTGGATTTTACCGCACGGGTTTGGAACCAATCGGATGTTTTCGGAGATATTTCCCACGCTTTGAATTTTGACGTTTGTCAATTCTGACAGTCATGTCAGTGAATGCATTCGTGTTTTGCGAAAATGTACCCAAAAACTAACGGTCGTAGAAAAAGTATAGTATGCAACACGTTCGGTAAACTTTTTAACTCACTCGTTTATTAAAAACTCGCTCCACTGGTATCAAATAAACTCGTGAGTCAAATGCCGTTTACCGCACTTGTTGCATAATATACTATTAACGAAAATCAAACACAATCAAACATTATTTTATGTTCTCGTCATTAAAAAATTCTTCAACAGAATAGTTTTTATTTAGCGAAAACTATTTTTAAATTTTTTCAGAATTTTTTTTTGGGGTTTGCCGTACAGTCGCTACTTATTTCCATTAATTTATTTAGACATTTTATACCCATATAAGTTTGGATTTTCCTGTCCAACATGCAATCTTGAAAGAGGTAAGTGGTACAGGTTCTTATCCTTAATGAAATTTTTGTGATGATTTTTTGATAACAATTTTTTTAAGCGAAAACGGTAAACCGAATTGAAAAAAATCAAGTAATTAAATTTCTTTAAGAAAGTGGTATTACAGATATAAAAAAAATTGTTTTACATTTGAAAACTTGACCACCTTGTATCTCAAAAGCTAACTAACACGTTTAGAACATATGTTCACCTAAAGTGTTCAAAAATCGCTCCCTTATTTATTAACATTTTTTTAATATATATATTTTTTAAATATTCTCTGCAAGAATCTGAGCGGCCTATGCTATTGATCTGATGGCTTTTTATTGTAAGATAAATATTTTTCCAGAATCTCTTGAGCTTCCCGAAAACACTGTCGCATAAGAGTTAATGCGAGTTTGATTTGCCTGATAGACAATCAACAGAGTTTTTGTTCACTCATTAGTATTACCAAATTTGTAAAATATAACCAATAAAGAGCTTGCAAAACTTTACAAAAAAAACCGGAAACATGAAAACTTTATTGAAAATTGTTAATTATCTCAAAAAGCAAAAAAACACTCGGCTGGCGTCTGTAATTTTTAAAAAACATTACAAGCTTCCAGAGTTTTGTCTGGTTTTTGCATCGCGTTCGTCTGAACGTCCCCTCTTTCAACCCGTTCTCGGCCTCTGTTGGGGACTCTCGAAATAAACTGACCGCACACTCGAAAATACCCATGCGGCCAAAAAGTTTCTGGCAGGCGTGGTGCAGTAATTATATCGCCTTTTGCTTTTATTAAAGCAATCTTGTTGGAGGAATAAATACGCTCAGCGCTGAAAGTATGCTAATTTTTGTTGTGAGGGTAACACTTGCGAATTGCTTGCGAATTTTTAATTAAATATTTTGCAGAAATCAATAAGTTAATAGATAGTTTTTTTTCAAATATTATCCATTAATTATTTTCGAGTTAATACCAAAAATTTACCACTCGCCAGTAAAATCAGAGGTCAATCCATTTATAAAAACGTTTTGATTTTGCTGGACCAAAATTCCAAGAGTCATTTCTACTTTTTTCAATTTTTCAAAAAAGATTATTAAATAACTTTATTTTTTCGATTAAGATTAAGCTTTGAATTTCCTACTTGTTAGTAATAAATTCATGGAAATAATCTTTAAATTGATAATTTTACTCGTAGAAGCAGAAAAGTTGTTGCAGTATTGAACAGACCTACGACTCTGCTTAAGCGTTTGAAGCACGTGAAAATAATGCATATGGTTTTATTTTAATTATTGATATAGCGTATCTAAAAAAGTATGTAAACAAACGGTGCATGGTCACAAAAGTATAGTTCCAATAAAACAAAAAATAAAAGGCATTTTTTAAATTTTTAAAAAAATATATTGGCTATCATACCTGAAGTGCATAACAAAAATAATTTTGTTATCGTGTATCAGGATATAGAAAACTGCTTAATGAGGTTTTATGAAATTTTGAAAGCACATATCATTTAGGATTTAGGACCCTTTGGTCTATTGTGAGAAACTACTTAGTATATCCAGCCCTTTTTCTTAGTAGCATATTCCATCGCTGTCTTGCTTCAATCTTGGGGGAGCAGGGTTGCTTCTCATGGGACTAATGTATAGACATACAAGAAGTGTATCTGTCTCTGTTTTGAAGCCGTACCACAATTATTAAGTCTGCAAAAAAAAAAACAAAATAAATTTCGATTAAGCGTTTACATAACTATAAAAATCAATAAGAAAAAATGGTATTACTAAAAGATAATATCGTGAATGAACACTCAAAGAATTTTACGAAAATTCACGTCGCCAAAACCATCATCCATCGGCACTCATCAAGAAATTATAAAATTTTCATTAAGCTAAATCCGCGCCAGCCCCAAACCCCTTAAACACGGTAACCGTGACCCTTTATGAAATCGAATAATACAAAGAAGCGCGGCATAATGGACGTGGGGGAATCACAGTAAGAGGACGATGATTATAAGACGCGCCTGGCAAACATTTAGCCGTTGAATATGCATGATCCAAAGGTACACCGCCTGTTTTTCTAGGGTCCTTGGATACCCTCGAAAAACTGTTTGGAATACTTATTCTTAGCTTTTGTTGTTCTATAGTAAATTTTCTTTAGTATATTTCGTTTTGTCGTGTACCATATTTCAGCGGTTCTGCTTTATTTTATATATGAATTTCAAAATTATATTGTGAATTACTATCAAAATTAAACTTTTAATATTAACCTAACAAGGTCTCAACACAAAAAAATGTATTGGGCCCATGTGGGATTCGAACCCACGACCTCCGAGAGACAAATTCAGTTCGGTGCTCTTACCAACTGAGCTAACGAGCCTCACATTGAAAGTTAATTGCGCACTGCTATTTAACTTTGTTTCATGCACAACAAAAGATTATAATGTTAAATAATGTGGCAAGTTGATTCTATAACGCAAGCGACTCAGCAAATATTTTTTGAAAATAATAACCAGAGGAGGTGTTTTACGTGCTGGCATATTTTTTATCTTTCAGTTCTTCAACTGATATGGAAAGACGCATTTCTCGAATAGTAGACTTAAGAGCCGCTAAACGAACATCATTTTTCCTATAATCTGGTTCTCTTAGATTCCATAAGCAGGGTCACTTTTCATAGCATTCCAAAAAAAGTATGTTATTATTTTTATCCATGTTAATTCTTAAATTTCCAAGTACTTAGCAGAACACACCAGCTTTGAGGAGAAATCGACT